TGTCTCATGATGGTCACTTTCCACACACACATCCTCTTCTTTTTCATCCGAGTCTTCCTCATCGAGTGGGCTTTCCTCCCCACTTGATATTTCGTTGAACCATTGCATCCATACTTCAGGATCCCTGCTTGTCTGTACACACCTTCTTTTCGGGTCGGACATTCTGTTTTTATAGATTTCCCTGTAATTCATTGAATAACTGTATGCATATTTACAATTAAAACAGTAACACTTACCTCAAATCAATGAAAACTAGTAAAATCCAAGGTTTGCCCAGCCGAGAAAATATTACGTGATTAGGCGCGCGGGCTACAATTGTAGACCAGCCGATTTTAGGCGCGAAAAACAACAACGACAATACGCCTCAAGCACGCGCATCATACTGATCAAGTGGAGCAAAACAAATAGAACAGCTACTAGCGGGGGCGCTCGCATCTGCATATTTTCTTTGCGTTTCATCACCATTCGAATATCGGTGGGCTAAAAACGACGTACAAGCACATAAGAATCCTTGTTTTTATAGAACTCGCGAACACAAAAAGCACGTTGCGGCCCTGTAAAATGCTCCATTGCAACTAAAATTTAACAATGTTGCCAAACGTTTGTCAACTGTCTCGTTTCTCCGGAGCATGCGTATTCCGCCAGAGGACTGATCTAAAAACGAAAATATTTCTGAGACACCCTTTATATTTTGACAAATGAATTACTACAGGATCATTTAGAGCTTTTTTTGGAGCTATTCGTGGTAAGGGAAGGTACAACAATAATCCCAGGGCACACGCCCACAATTCGTTCCATCTTTCAACACAGACATTGACAACCTTCGGCCTTCTGTCAAAGGTTCATCTCACTCATTATTCCATGACCACCATTTTGTGCAATCATCAAGTGGCTTCGCGACGTAATGCTCTAATGTTTTCTAAATAATTTTTAATCTGTCATTAACTTGTCTTGTCATATTTTATATAATTTTAACCATTGTACCATGTATCCAGCTCTCACCATGTTACTGGACGTTTCCCTCATCCTATACGAAAACAACAATTAGCAACATCCCCACATACTACTGTAAGTTGATTCAATTTAAACTCATTTTACACTTTTGTTGCTACTGTTATCATTGTAATTGCAGCTACTGATGATGATGGCAAAGTCCATTGAAAGCTAGAGAGAATTAAAAAAAGTATAAAGAGTCCTCATTGCTTAAATTTTGTCGAAGTACCCAACAAAAAGCGGAAGCTTTAATTTTTCACCTATAAATATATATATATATATATATATATATATATATATATATATATATATATATATATATAGTCAGGGCGGATGATGGTGAAGATCTTTTATATAGCCCAGAATTACTTAAGTATGAAGAAAAAATAAAGAACGATATAGCCCTTTACCAGTGCACACCTTTTGCATGGAATCTTACAACTTACACAGAAAATGTTGTTAAATACATAGCAGGGTTTGTGGTGAATGATTTGAAAAACTGTGTTACTTGCATAAATTGTAAGAATACCTTAGAGGGCGATATTGACATGCCATTGCAAAAAAGAGAAGCTTATGGAGAATTGACAAAAGCCTCAGCCTCAAATTTGCCGCCATGGTGAAAAATACTTTCGTTTCTTCCATAAGACGACTAATGTCTGTAACAAAAATATCAAAAATCTATCAGATATTCTAGTCAATAATACCATACAAACAATATCATCACATATTTTGGACTATTTTGATCGCCACCTTCTCGAAGATGACCCTATTGATGGTCACTGCATATTTCTAATAAAACTGATTTTAAAAAGGTATTTTTCGCTCAGACTTTATCACGAAACTGTGAAAAAATCTGACAGTTTAAAAAAAAGATAATTAGGAGTGTATATACGAAGGCAGTATTATTCAGCCAACAGTAAGCTTTTTTTCTTTGTTGTGTCTTTCTTCATTTCTCGGATTCTATGATATAATCCTAAGGTTGAGAAGTACTTTTAAAATATGTACATTTTTGTGGACCTGTAGGTGACAGAAGGTCAACTTTTGTTTTCTCCAAAATGGAGATTTATTCTCTTGTTGTTGTATAGCCAATTAGTAATTTTTATTTTCTGTCTACACTGATCATGTATGTCATAGGTTGAATACATTTCAGGTGTTTCGCATGTGATTGAAAGTAATTCAAGATTCTGCAATTTCTAGCAATACAAAGTGAAATACTGATACTTTTAACCTTTTTTCATGTTAACTATATGTATTTAAACTATTTTACCTAACGAAACAGTAAAAGCTTTCGTTAACGTTTACATGTGAATTGAAGAGTTAATGTACTATTTACAATTATTGTTATTGTTGTTGTTGTTGGAGAGAACAGTACGCCCTGAACTCTACCACATTTATTCAGCAGAACGAGACAAAAACAAGGTTTCTCTGTAATATATGAGCACCTAAGTTTAAAAACTTGTATGCGCAAAAACAGACCAAAACAGTATTAATTGATAAATATCGTGCAATATATATTTTTGTATAAAATCACTCAACTATACAAACAAAACATGAAACACGATATACACAAAATGAAAGAAAATTTCATATTTTTGTTGTAAGTAATAGATTTAACTTAAGATCACAGAAAAAAAAGTGTCACAATAATATCAAAAAGAAAGAAAAGAAACAAATAGGCAGATCAATCTACGTCAAAGCAACTTAAAATAAACGCATACTTTGTTCACGATTTTCCCAACAGAACATTTTAAACGAAACATTAAATTTCTTATTATTTCCAATATTCCTGATATTAGCAGGAATCAAATTGTAAAATTTAGGTGCAAGATATGTCACAAAACGCAAATTTAAATCTCGCCTGGACTGCGGGACGTTCAGGTTATGAGTGGTGTTTGCTCGGGTCATATAATTGTGGGACACATAATTTGTATTTAATTTCCTACTTGCATGTACAAAACTACATACTGCAAGGATATATAAGATTTTAATATTGTTTATTTCTTGAGAATAAAGTTGCATAGTGAGATATAATCTAGGTTTTTTTAGAATAATTCTTACAATATGGTTCTGCACCACTTTTAACTGCCCAAGATTTGAACCGTACGTCCCACCCCACACAATTATGCCACATACCAATAGTGGCACCACAAGTGCTTTGTAAATCATTAATAGTAGTTTAATGTTCAGTATATTACGAAGAGCGTAGAATTTATGGATGAAAAATCTAATTTTTTTGCTCAAATACAGCATAATGTCGGTCCCACTTCAAGTGCTTATCAACAACAACCCCCAAATATTTAATTTCATTTACTTCTTTCAAAGGCTTATCAATATTATCAAGTTTAATTTGATTAAATGCTGGTCTATTAGCCATGGAAACAGAGAAGGCAATGTAATGAGTTTTTTTTATATTCAGAGTTAATTTAAATGTGTCCAGAAGGTTTTTAATTTTTGCAAAATCAGTCTTCAATTTTTCACCCGTTGATTCCCATGTTTCTCCATGAAACACCACCACCGTGTCATCAGCATAGGCAATTACATCGCCATCAACTGCAAGACTGCAGAGGTAATTTACATATATATTAAAAAGAATTGGTCCAAGAACTGTACCCTGTGGAACTCCATGCTGAACCGTCTTAGGTTCACTTAGAACGTCCGCAATCCTGACACACTGAATCCTATGTATTAAATAATCTCTAAATACACTTAACACAGCACCCGTAACTCCATGTCTCTCCAGTGCTTGGAGGAGCATAGGATGAGATACCGTGTCAAATGCCTTTGCTAAATCCAAAAACAAAGCGATGCACTTATCACCGTTATTTAAATGATACATTATTTTAGAAGCTAATTCATAAACCGCATGTGATGTGCTTAAACCTTGTCTAAAACCAAACTGATTCTCAGATAACAGCTTATTTGAGTCCAAGAATGCAACCAATCTAACCTTGAGGCATTTTTCAAAGATCTTTGCTAAATTTGAGATTATACTTATTGGTCTATAATTACTTATATATTCTTTATCTCCTGCTTTGTGAATAGGTGATACAACCGATATTTTGAATTGTTTAGGTACTTTGCCCGTTTTGAAAATCAGATTGATTATATGAACTAAGGGATCCAAGAGATATACATGTAGTTGTTTGATTATTTTAGTCGTTAATTTATCTAATCCTGGAGAGCAACTATTTTTTAGACTCATTATATGTTCAATAATTTCATTACTGTTGGTCGGTTTTAAGTACATTGAATACTAAGGGCTATTTATAAATTGAAAAGGTATGGGAGGGTTTCCAATTTTATCTGACATTTCTCTGCCAATATTTATAAAAAAGTTATTTGCAAAATCAGCAATTTGCTTTTTATCAATAATCATGTCATTTTTTTCATCCTTTAGGTAAGTTATAGTACATTCTGTTTGGCTTTCATTTGTTACCTCTTTAACTAATTTATAAACTTTTTTGATATCATGTGAGCTTTGATTAAATTTACTTTTATAGTACTTTTTGTAAATCTTATTATTTTATTAAGACGGTTTCTATATTCTTTGTATTCCGATATCTCTGCTGGAGACGGTTTTAGCTTAAGGGCTCTTTTCAGCTTATCTCGGTTTTTCATAGATTTAATTATTGCATTTGTAATCCACGGTTTAAGCTTTTTATAATTATTCAGGGTGTTTTTAACAAATTCTGACTTTTCTATAATATTACTTTTTTAAAAAGGTAATTGGTTGCTTCTTCTGCTTGATCAAAAACCAAACTGTAGTTCCAGTTTACATTAAAATTTGGATTTGTCGGATTTTGCAACTCACTTAGAAGAAATTGTCTTGATTCAGCCTTGAATAAAAACAATAAAAATGGCGTATTACTTTGAAATTATTTTAATAAACATAAATATACAAACGTGTTTTATAATACAAAAATAATTAGACCACTAAATCGGGAATTTCCTCAACTGGTTCACATAAGTTTCCAGCCTCAACTTCCGCGCTGCCAACGAGGGGAGATTCACATATATTTCTTTAGAACTTCACTGTAGTACTGCAGATTCTCTAACGCATGCCATTCCTTATCCCAGTGTTTTTCTATTAGCACCTTTACGTCATTAAGTTTCGCCTGATTGGGCATAACACCATCAGGTACTTTAGACTGTATAATGCTGCTTACTGTCTGTCCTTTTTTAAATACGGACTTATACTCTCCAAGATCAGTCTTATAAGACTGTACTCCTCGAACTGTGCCTACTTTGTTTCTACCTTTTCTAAATAAAAATCTTTTACTCATATTAAAGCGGAAATGCCATTGAGCAGGTGGTTTGATTGAATTCTGAGAATCTTTTTTCCAATCGTATACCTTGACATCCTTACCGAGTATAAAAACAGTTCCACGATCTTTAAATATATTGCGAAACTCATCTGGCGATACGATGGTCTCTTTTTTCTTTATCACTTTTTCGATACGAGCAAACACCCTATCGGGTGGGATGAATGAGTGTCCTGCCACGCCAAATATAACTTCCATATTTTTAACGTAGGAAGGCGAATCTAGACTAAGCCATTTATATTATATACAGGGTGTTCCATAATTATTGCGACAAAATGATAGGGGTTGTAGAGGGCATAAAAATATGCAATTTTGCCTTATAAACCCCTGTTCGTAAATATGCCGTTTGAGCACTACAGTTAATTTTACCTTAAGAGCTCATAGGAGAAACAAAAAATTCACCAGCTGCAAAATGTTCGTCTAGCACATTTCATGGTCTCACCGGTTTGTAAAAAAAGCCTGCTGTGTTTACATTTTTGTTATCGTACACCCGTACCACCTTTTAAAAGTCCAAGCCATGGGTCCAGCAGACTATCTGCCGCGTCGACGTTTTTGCCGTTGGTGGCTGCAGCAGGAGTTGAGGCAACCAAACTTTGGTCACTACGTTTTGTTCACTGACGAGTCCTGTTTTACAAAGGACGGTTATTTTAATAGCCATAACAGTCACATTTGGGATGAAGAAAACCCTCATGCCATAGCCATCCATAGAGACCAACATCAGTTTTCAATTAACATCTGGTGCGGCATTGTGGACGAGCATATCATCGGGTCATATCTGCTTCCACCACGTTTGGATGGGCATGCTTATGGTCGATCCTTACAGCATGTGCTACCGGAACTATTACAAAATGTGCCACTGAATATAAGAGCCAACATGTGGTTTCAACACCATGGCGGTCCAGCCCACTTTTCTTTACAAGTGCGGCAGTATTTGGACGACAAATTTCCAAATAGGTGGATAGGCCGAGGTGGCCCTGTGCCTTGGCCTGCGCGGTCACTTGACCTGACTACACTGGATTATTTTATCTGGAGCTATCTGAAAGCTTTAGTGTACGAAACTCCTGTTCCCAACCAACAAGAGCTACTGGGAAGAGTGATGGCCGCGTCCGCACATGTTCAGGACATACCGGGGGTATGCCACAGAGTTCGCCGATCATTGAACAATCGTGCACAGCTGTGTATTGAGCAAGGTGGAGGACACTTTGAGCAATTACTGTAGGTAAGCTGTTTCAAGAAACTGATCTTTTTTTTTGCTGCAGCCCAAACGGCATATTTCCGAACAGGGGTTTATAAGGAAAAATTGTTCATTTTGATGCCCTCTACAACCCCTATCATTTTGTCGCAATAATTATGGAACACCCTGTATATATTTTGTCCTCCGCAAACGTCAGCAATAAGGCGAACAGTATCTATACAATCCATGTTTGTGCTGCAAAGTTTGTGGAAGACTGCACTGGCAATTTCGTTGGCACCTTTATGATGTTGGTCCTCGGTATACGTATATAAAAATACATTTTCCTTAGATAATAGTGAATGAGAAGATCCTGTTACGGCGGCAAAATTATAGGTATAGAGCTGTCTACTATAATAGACCGACTGATCAGGAATCTTTGGCATTGCCTAGTTTTTCTGACAGTCAAAAGATATTGTCTCAAGACCTTGCCTTTCTTCCCTAAGTAAATGAAAAAAGCTCTTGCCCGTAATTTATGGACCCTGCATTGAGTCATAACGGTTGCTTTAAGTTTTTCATCTTCTTCGACTTTAATTTTTTCCATTAGTTGAAGGCAAGTCGAACAAACGTCAGTTCTTGGAGAACCAAAGCCAATATTATAGCAAGTATTAAAAATATGTCGGAAGTAACTTTTTTTAACTATGATAATAGAAGCATCAACCTCTGCTTCCTTACAGTAGTTCCGTCACATCTTAGAAATATTTAGTTCAGATGGTAAGTAGGTGCGACAGCTCCTATTTCTGCAATAATGAGATTCCACAGATCTATGTTTTTCAATAAATCTCATTATAGATGATTTTCCTTGGCTTGTCCTTTAATATAATTACAACCGTGTAGTATCCGTGAATCATGTTCTCGGCACGACGTTCAGAGCAAAAAATGTTTGTTTAGCATGTCGTTGGCCTGCCTGGCTGCCTTATCGCTAGAATTAATTCCGTTTTGTCGTGTTCGAGCAGTGGCGGCCGGTCCATAGGGGCGAAAAGGCTACAGCCCCCCAAGACAAAATGCGAATTAACAAAAAATTTAAAATATGATTTTGTGATTAAATAATTTCCAGATATATACGAAAATTCAATCAAAACCTGAATTTTAATAGTAGCCAGTTACGCAACAGGCAATATATATATATATATATATTATCCGATCCCAATACCCCGAAGTCGCGAGCTAGATTCCCTATCGATTCGAGGCTAGAATAATTTTTGCCGCGATCGCCGACCTGATTGAGTGGCTCGCTACGTCATACCCCCCACGCGCTTACGAGTTTTATACGGGATTTTAACACGCGAGGTGGCGAAATAATTTTTAGCCAGTCCCGATTTACGTGTGTACGAAATCGCTTCATCGCGTCCCCGTGCCGCCGTTCGGGGGTTCAAAAAGTTTAAAATGGCAAATGAAGTACAAAATTTGTTAAAAGGTGAATTTTCTCGGCTTCCGCTTGCTGAAAAAATAATAATAAAATCCCTTGGAAGGCCGATTCCAAATATCAACCTTACTCAGGCTGATAAATCGACGAAAGCTGGTTGTTTTAAGAGACATTTTAAGAAAGATATCTATAACAAAAACAAATGGATATGCGGTTGTGGCACATTAAACGCCCTGTTTTGTTTTCCGTGCTTACTGTTTTATTCAGATGCAGCGGAAAAGACATGGACAAGAACTGGATTTAAAGATTTAAAGCATATAAACCAGAAAATTAGTAAGCATGAAAATTCGGCTCGTCACATGATTTGTTCGACAGAATTAGCTTTATTGGGAACAGCTAGTATCGCTGCTCAGTTAGATTCCGCTTACAGGCAAAATATTATTAAGCACAACGAGCAAGTGGACAAAAATAGATATCTTTTAAAAAGAATAATAAACTGTATAAAGTTTTGCGATAAATTGGAATTAGCGTTAAGAGGGCACGACGAAAGTGAAGACTCTGAAAATCGTGGCATTTTTCGAGAGTTGATTAATTTTACGTCCGAACTGGATACAATATTAAAGGAACATTTAAAAAGTGCGACACTGTTTAAGGGTACTTCTAAAACAGTACAAAATGAAATACTAGATAGTATGTTGGAAGTCTGCCAACAAGAAATTCGACAGCAAATTAATGCAGCAGAGTTTTTAGCTATACAGTGCGACGAAACAACAGATATTTCACATCATTGTCAAATGGTAATGATATTTAGATATCTCCATGAAGGTGAAATACAAGAAAGATTTTTGGCGTTTTTTGAGCGTTACGGACAAGACAGCTGAAGGTTTGGCAAAGTGTATCGAAGAAGAACTAGGCCCATTATTAAAAGATTCACCCCACAAATTAATTGCGCAAACTTATGATGGTGCAAACGTAATGAGCGGTAGCAGTGGTGGAGTTCAAACAAAAATCAAACAAAAATATCAGAACGCTCATTTTATACACTGTTACGCTCACCAACTGAACTTAATTATGCAGAGAGCAGCCAGCCAAAATCCAAAAGTAAAAGTGTTTTTTCAAACCTGTCGGCAATTCCAAGTTTCTTCTCCAACTCCACGCACAGATGCGATTTATTGGAAAAAATAGTTAAAACCAAAATGCCAAAGGTTGCGCCAACACAGTGGAATTATAACATTCGCACAGTCAGTGCCGTTTTTGAGAACCGTGAAAGGCTTATTGATTGTTTCCGGGAGTTAGAGAATAAATGTGATAAAACAATTACTAGTAAGGAGGCATACGGTTTAAGAAGAGCACTCGAAGATTCTGATTTCATCTTTTTTTTGACTTTTTTTCACAAAACCCTACCGCACGTAGCTATTTTGTTTAACCAGTTTCAAAGTAGGAATAAAGACAGTGTACAACTTTTAAAAGATATTGACGTATTTGAGAAGGCCATTGTATTGATTAGGGACACTACAGAGGATATACAGCAAACTGTTGAAAATGAGCATGGAGACAATGGAAATAAACGCAGAAAAGTAGAACCCGAAGAAAGAAATTGTATTATTGCAAAAGAAGTTTGCGATATAATAATTGTACAGACAAAAGAGAGACTTTCTTACAGGGGTCATCTAGAAGCTGCATCTTTATTAGATACACAAAACTTCACAAACTATTCGAGATATTTTCCAGCAAAAATACTGAATTCAGTTGTGACTTATTATCCAATGGTAAATAAAGAAAAACTGAAAACCGAATTAGAAGTAATGTACATGAGGGAAGACTTCAAAAATATTACAGGTGGTTTGAATTTGCTGTCCCTATTGACTAATAACAACCTAGAGGAAACTTTTAGCGAAGTAACTAAGTTGTTGCAAATAATTATAACTACTCCCATGTCAACTTCCGAAGCAGAGCGCTGTTTCTCAACCCTTAAGAGGATAAAATCGTTATTAAGAAACTCGATGGGCAATGAACGACTGAATGCATTGGCAATGATGTCTGTTAATAAGAGTCTGGTACATAATATCAGCAATTTCGACGAAAAAGTGATGGAACATTTTATTTCACAGAAAGACAGAAGATTAGACTTTACATATAAACATTAAAAAATATTTTGTAATAAATAGAAGTGTGAAGTGTGACAGTTGAAACACAATGTTTGCTCTAGCTGTAGGTAGGTATACTTAGTCGTTTATAATACAATAATACATTTAGGTATACCGTATTTCTGTTCTCTTTTCCAGTTATTTATAGTTACATGTGTTGTAAGAAAGTGAAAAACTATACTTTTGAGTACTGTTGTTCTTTTGATAATAGATGCTCTGTTGCTTTCATATTAGATGCTGCTTTCTTTTGCGATAAGTTCTCGTACCTAAAATATGTTTGTTCCTATACAGAGGACTGTACATAAAATATATAGGTATAGAATTGCCAACTGATCCATCCACAAAATCAGGACATAAAAGATGCAAAAAAAATTATAGCTCTAAAAATGTATATTTGAATTTGAAGGCTCAAACTGGAAGTTTTTGGGCGTGGCACCGTAAAAATTCTTTGCCTCCGGCGGTGACTGCGGCAGGCCACCCTTCCCTACAATAGCCCCCCATTTCTCACAGCCACCGGCCGCCACTGTGTTCGAGGTACGCGACGAAATAAATACGTGTAAATAAATAAGTGAATAATATTAATAGACTGTTGTTTGAAAATGCCTAAACGTAAAATGAGTGGAAATAAACAGGGTGAAGTGAGGAAACTTAATAAAAAACTGAAGAAAATACAGGATAAACTGCGGATGCTGGACTCAAGCGATTCGTCTTCTACGTCGTCTAGCGAATCATCAGGTAAGGATTAACAACAAAATTACCTTTTAATGGAGAATGAAATCACGCGTCTTCAATCATATTCTCCGGCAGCACCCGCTCGCCAAACCAAAGGGTAACATGCGTTATCCCATTATAAAAAAGAAGAATAATATTAAAAGCAAATGACACCACAAAAATCAAGAAATGAGAATGAAATCGCTCGATTTCAACAAATCTCAGGCAACAAGCGTTGGCCAAGAATACGTCATAATAAACTAAGAGGGTTTTCCCTTTCACATTCGGATTCATCATCGGACAGCATATAACAAAACAACGAGGAAAGAAGTAACATAACTGAGACACCAACAGAACAGATTCAAATAGAGTTTGACTTCTTTGGCAGCAAGTCGCCAGAAAAGGCACAAATCGGGGCCGCAATACACAATGAGATAGCAATACGTTGGAGTGCAGTACTACAATCGGGGTTAACCAGTGCACAAAGAAGTGAAATTACAGAAAAATACAAGATACCTGACAACTGTTTACAATTACTACCGCCAAAGACAAATGACGGAATACAACCATGGCTTCCCGACGGGGTTGCTAAACATGACATTTATTACAGCCTTGCAGTTACAACTAGCCTATGGCCTCTCAGCCATCGCTACAATAATAAACAAAAATCTAGGCATTGCAGAACAGGCTAATGACACAAAGGTCCTGGGGGAAGCATGTCAAATAATTGCGAATGTCCACAATGCACTTTCGATTCACAGGAAGTACAAACTTTTGCCACATTTACACTCTGATTGTGCCAAAGTGGCCAAAAACATAAAAATCGATGATAATCTGTTTTGCAAAGATTTCCATGAAGTCTTCAAAAACGACCAAGCTACAAAAAAAATCAAGTGCTCACTTGAAGAAGAGAACTTCAACTGCAACGACTGCGGGAACATCTGTTCTCCAGAAATACCGGCAGTCTTTAAACTACCAGCGCTCCCAATACAAAGGGAAGTTCAAAGAACAAAGGAAGGAGGGGAAATCGCCGAGAGAAAGAAGCAAATGGAGCCAGTACAAGGAACAACAGTATCATCGCAGGAAATAGGCTGTTCCAACAAGGTAATTAAATATGCAGGTCGGATAAGTAAATTTTCACATGCGTGGAAAAATATTACCCAAGACAGAGTAGTCTTAAGTTGGGTTCGGGGAATAGACCTGGTTTTTCACTCAAAGCCTAAACAACTGCGGGAACCTAAAATTACTATGGAAAAAGGTCAAGTTAAGGATTATGGTGATTTTATAAAAAAAGTATTAGGAATTGGGGCTGTTTCAAAGTGTCTCCTGACAAAAAACCAATTGTTATCGTCATATTTTCTAAGAAAAAACCAAACGGCGAAAACAGATTCATATTAAACCTAAAAATACTTAACAACTATATGAAGGCTCCACATTTTAAATTAGAAGACCATAGAACAGTATTGAAACTGCTGCATCATAACAATTATTTAACTAAAATTAACCTCAAAGATGCCTATTTTTTGCTTTCAGTGCAGAAAAAACATCGTAAATACTTAAGATTCAAATTTACGAATGTTCTGTATGAGTTCAAGTCACTCCCATTTGGTCTAAGTGTAGCCCCATTTATTTTTAACAAAATTATCAAACAAGTAGCGCGATTTCTCAGGAAATTAAATATTCTGTTAGTTTTTCTATCTTGATGATGTTTTGCTTATTGCAGACACCAGGTTACCATGTACAAAAAATACAAAAACAACAATTGAATTGCTAGAAAAGTTAGGTTTTATAATTAACACAAACAAAAGTGTATTAGACCCTCAACAGACTATTACCTTCCTTGGGTTTTCTTTTAACTCAACAAGCATGAAAATTTCTCTACCAGAAGAAAAAATCAAATCTATAAAACATAAAATCATGGACTTTAAAAAGAAAACCCAATGCACCGTTAGGGTTTTTGCACAATTAATAGGAAATATGGTAGCGTCTTGTCCGGCAACAAAATACGGGTTTGCTCATTTAAAAATTTTTGAAATTCTTAAGCACTCGGTTATTCGCAGTGTTTGCCGAAATTACAATAAAAGAATGGAAATTAGTAACTCGGTAAAAAATGAATTATCATGGTGGGAAAAGAATATAGGAAAAGGGCAAGACATAAAACCACACCAATTTGCATTAGAAATTTTTTCAGATGCCTCTTCCTCCGGTTGGGGGGCTTTTTGCGGGAAAAAATCTTTCACGGGTTCTGGGACAAAGGAGAATCTCAAATGCATACAAATTTCCTAGAAATAAAAGCGGCCTATTACGCACTAAGGTCACTAACTAAAAATAAAACTAAAATACAGATTTTATTGAGAATTGATAATCAAACCGCTATCTCCTGCATAAGTCGAGGAGGTAGTGTCAAATTTCGCCATCTGAACTATGTTACAATACTTATCTGGGATTGGTGTGAGAACAAAAACATATCAGTATTTGCAAGTTACATTACGTCATCAGAAAATTTTAAAGCCGACAAAGAATCTAGATCATTATCCATTGACACAGAATATAAACTGAATAATTATGCTTTTAAAAAAATTATTCAAAATTTCGGGGAACCAGAAATAGATATATTTGCCTCTAGAATTAACAACAAATGCAAAAAATACATTTCTTGGTTTCCCGATCCAAACTCAATTTCAGTAGATGCATTCACAACTTCATGGAGCGCATATTATTTTTATGCCTTTCTGCCTTTTTCGTGTGTCTCAAGGGTTTTGTGAAAAGTGAATCAAGAAAACGCGCTAGGCATAATCGTTGTTCCAAACTGGCCTTCACAACCTTGGTTCCCTATTTTTCAAAAACTCCTAATTGAAGATCCGATATTGTTTAAACCTAATCCTACCCTACTAATATCCCCTTTTAGGACCTGCCATCCCCTATACGAGAAGCGTTCCCTGGTGGCAGGGAAATTGTCAGGATCGCTTATCAAAGAAGAGGAATTCCAATAGCTGCGATACCAACAATGATCAATTCCTTATCAGAAGGCACCTTGAAGCAATACTACAATTGTTTAAACAAATATTGGGAGTTTTGCAACCAAAAACAATATGTTGACCTTTTTATGTATAGTATGAGCAGATATTTAGAATTTTTAGAATATACTTTAAATAAAGGAATGTCATATTCGGTCATCAATTCTTACAGGTCGTCTTTAAACCTTATATTTTCGCTAGAGCAGCAAGATTTAAAATGTATTAACAGGTTTCTCAGAGGCGTAGCAAATATAAGGCCGGCGGCGCCGAAATATTCGTATATATGGAACCCGGACTCTGTATTGTCAGTTTTAAAAACATGGTACCCTCTAAATTCCTTAAATTTAGAAAAATTGACCTATAAACTCGTCTTTCTGCTAGCAATTTCATCGGTCAGTAGAGTACAAACTTTAACAAAAATAGAAATCGGAAACATATTAAAAGAAGAAAATAAAATAGAAATAAAAATATCGGAGAAAATTAAAACATCAACCCCCAATAAAATCCAACCAGTCTTAACATTCCCATTTTTTAATGAAGCACCGGAGTTATGTGTGGCTTCTACTATCGAAGCTTATCTAGAAAAAACTGCTCAATTTCGGAACAATAGAGAACAATTGATACTAATACGTAAAAAACCATTCCATCCGGCAACAACGCAAACCATAAGTCGATGGCTCAAAAGGTTCTTAAAGTTAGGAGGCATTGTCACTACAGTTTTTTCTGGTCAAAGCACTCGCCACGCATCAACTTCCGCTGCTTCCAGAAAACGGGTTAATATTGACCTAATACGGCATACGGCTGGATGGACTCCGTCCTCCAATACATTTTTCAAATTTTACAATAGACCTTTAATTAAACCCAGAGAGGAATTTGCTAAAAGAGTGTTAAACATAGATACCTAAATAAAACTACATAAGATTACTTAACCTTAGGGGAACAAGCCGGTTTCATACCACTTAAGTATATTTTTGTTAGGACTTAATTTAGGTTAGTAACCACTAATCAACATAAAAATAAACTTAATTTATGATAATAATACGTATTATGTACAATATCTTATATTAAAATTTCGCCGCTAAAAAATAAAAAAAAAACGTGTTTTACTCTAAACATCTACAAGGTTGTAATTATATCAAGGACAAGCGGAGGAAAATTATAAGATCAATCGACTTACATGTAGGATGATTGATATTAATTTTCCGAGCTTGTCCGTAGATATAATTACAAACCCAACCCGCCACTTCTAAGCCCCACAAGAGCGATTTTTTTTTCCAACAACGGAATGAATTCTAGCGATAAGGCAGCCAGGCAGGCCAACGACATGCTAAACAAATATTTACTGCTCTGAACGTCGTGCCGAGAACATGATTCACGGATACTACAAGGTTGTAATTATATCTACGGACAAGCTCGGAAAATTAATATCAATCATCCTACAGGTAAGTCGATTGATCTTATAATTTTTGGCCGCAAATATGGGCGTTTTTCGATCGCCTCCTCTGCATGCGGATTCCAATTGTTGTCGATTGCGTGATATCGAGTCACTTTCGCTTTGCGATGCTAAATCCGATATCGACCAAAACGCATTCCCATTGCACCCCGTATCAAGCTACGTCAAAGACGATATCGAGCTTCGTAGTTCTCGTAGCAAGCATGGGCATTTACATCTGTTTTGTTGGGTTATGTTCATTTGTTGTGCTTTTGTACATTACCGTATATTTCAAGTTTGTTTAGAATGCTTCCTATATTCCACCGGCGTTTGGAAAGAGTTAGGCAAAGGCAAGAAAATAGAGATCTTGTTTTATATAGGCGTCATTTGAGAGATCACAGTAATCCATTCGATATTCCTGTAGAACGGTTTATTGAATTGTATAGACTGAATAAAGAGTTGGCAAGGTATGTGATAAATACCATAAGCCCAGTGATGGCTCAAGGAGTGTATGGGAATTCCATTCCAAATTTGATTAAAATGTTTGCCTCATTACGGTTTTATGCAACTGGATCATACCAAAGAGACATAGGGCTCGCTTACCTAGTGAGCTTAAGCCAAACATCTGTGCGTAGGTATGAATAAAATATTTCTCTTTTCTATGTTATTTACTATTTTACACTATTAGTTTTTTATTATTGGATAATCTTAGAAGACAAATAGCTAAAAGTTCTTGTACCTTGTACAAAAGTGGTGCATAATTTTTCATTAATGGCCGCAGAATAGATTTATCCATTTATTTGATTTCATTTCTAATAATGGAAACATATTTTAGGTGTATTCAGCAAGTTACACAAGCAATTGAGACTACCATTGCAATACATGAGGTGACATTTCCAACTAGTGAAATTGAACATAATAGAATTAAACATTCTTTCATGGATAAGTTTGGATTACCTGGAGTTATTGGATGTGTGGATGGGACCCATATGCCATTTCCAGGCCAGCCAGAGAAGCTCATAATTTTTATAATAGAAAGGGCTACTATTCTCTAAATACACAAATTATTTGTGATGATAATTTAAAAATTTTAAGCCTGAATGCAAATTTTCCAGTATCAAATCACGATAGCTACATATGGAGGCACACAAGAATCAGGCAATATTTATTACAACAATATCTTCAAAATAGATTAAGGGGATCTTGGTTAATAGGAGACTCAGGTTATATGTAAGAACCTTTCCTGATGATCCCCTTTATAAATCCTCTAGATGGCTCACCGGAGTCTAGATACAATCAGTGCCATATTAGGGCGAGAAATTGTGTTGAAAGATGCATAGGAGTATGGAAATGTAGATTTAGGGCATATCTACAAGAAAGAACAGCAAAGTATTCACCAAGTTTTGTAGGCTCCTTAGTTAATGCCACAGCAGCTTTGCACAATTTATGTATAAGATTCAATGTCCCTTTATTGGAAGCTCCATTATTAGAAAATGACCAAGTTATTGGCCACATTCATAATGTAGAACATGAGTTGCAAAGGCAGGCATTAGATATTAGAAATATTATTGTTAATCAATATTTTTTTAGGATATAAATGTTTACAATTATGTAAAATGTTTTTTTAATAAAAATGTATTTATAATATTTCTGCAGTTTGTATTACAAAACTCTACTAAACTAGCAATAAAAATCAAAACAAACAAAAAATATATATTCCAAGAAACCAGTGTTACTGCTTTTAATAAGTTGTTAGCATTCTTATATCTAGTACAAAGAGGGCTGATATTTTTATATCACAAATCTTGACTAAACTAAAAATCCAACTATACACAAAGAAGAAATATATTCTAGAGAACAAATAAAGTCCTCAACAAAAAAAAGTTTATCATTTTGTATTGCTAAACTAGCAATCTGAACCTAAAAAAAAAATATATATATTTTAAGAAACAAGTGCTTATCACAAATGGTGCATTCAAAAGAGTTACACCAACAGTCAAATTTGCAAACAGATGCTTGGAGGTTTTCAGTACAAAAATATATGTTAAGAGCTATTTTGGCTTAATTTCTGTAAAATCATTTCTAAATTTGTTGCATAAACCTTAATTTGTTCAGTTAGTTCCCCTACATTCTGGGCAATATTTGATACATTTTAGTTAATACTGTGTAATATAGAAACAGTATCTTTATATAAAAGCTTAACTTCATCATTTTCAGATTGTCGCGTTGGTGTCTTAGATGGTAGATAATCATGGTCCTTGGTTGTAAAAAGACATTTTTCAACTCTGGGATTTTTCCTAAATTCTATTTGTTGAGGTTTAGGAGTCAAGGTTTGTTGTGCAGATTGCTGTTCCTCCAGAATAGGAAAATTTGTAGCAGCTGATGTTGATGCAACTGGGGTAGCATCATAATGCTGCATGTCATCAAGTGGAAGCGCTAACGTGTCGTCCAGTGGAAGCTGCTTTACAAATTTTAACATTCACTTATTATAGGATAATCAACTATAAATAATACTTACACCTCATTCTTGAGTTCCAGTTCCTTTAAAAAAACTTTCCCCTAATATTTCTAAAATTTTTAATTCAAAATCATTCAAAGTTTTTGAACAAGCTGGGCCGCCTCCTGTTAAATTTCTAGATCTTTCTATTTCTGCTGCCTTCTTTTTCAAATTAAGCTTATAGTCACTCCAGGACTGCAATAAAATTTATTTATTATATATTCAATTTATTGGTATTAACAATAAAATACTTAATAATTAAACTTTTAAAAGCTGAGTTTAAATTGATACAAAACAGCTGATCAAAATGATCACCTTCACCCACCAACATAGCAGAGTATAAAAGATTATGTCAGCTGATCATCGAATTGATCTTTATACTTTCCCAACAGTAGTAAACCAATCTTGGTTTTCTTTCAGGAAGTCAAGATTAGTAATCTTATTGATCAGGTACATACAGATCACTGTTTCCAAAAAGCCCTATTATGTTAATAAGGTTTGCATTCTATAGTACATTCAAGCTGAAAGAATCTAAGAAAGACATTGTGCTAGACAGGAGATACTCTAAAAAGTAATTGTGTCACTTTAAAAATATAATAATTACCTTTTGCCACTTATCCACACTCTTTTGCCCCAGCCCTAAAGAATTCAATTTGTTGGTCAATTCACTCCATAATTTACTATAATCTTTTCTGGTTTGGCTGGTACTTAGCCTACCTCTCGCCAATTCAGGGTTTTTCATCATCCAATCTAAAATCACATGCCAATGGGCTTCTTTAATTTTGAAAGACCTGGAACAAAGAAGCAATGACTGTAAATAAACAATTATTGAAAAATGCACCTTGCAAAAAAACTATTTAAAAATTTATATTCTATATATCATTCATAACAACGTATAAATTCAAAAACATACATATTAAACTGTTTTGGAAAACGGCTGCAAAATTATTTTTTGACAAGATGACAAGTCAGAATTCTAACTTTTTTAGGTTATGTTGGGTATCGAAACACCCTATTCCGGTCCTCTAGATGTGCCGAGTAAGTCGATATCGGATAACTCGATACGAGTTTGAATGGGAATCGCAAGATCTCCCGAAATCGACTACTACGATATCGAAATGGAAATGGGAATCCAGGAACTGTTTTCGCGAGCCATCTGTTTTTGTTCATGCAATCGCTTCAACACACCTATTATGCCATCTTTCTTTATCTTTTAAATAGAAACAAAGACTTTCTGACAAACAGGAATTTTTTTAGTTGAGTCGGCGAGGCCAATATACGTTATGGAAAAGGTTTTTCGATAGTTTTGATTACCGGTACGGCCTCGACGTTTGATGGCATGTGTCTCGCAGTATTTAATAATGAAGTTATCCTGGCCTACCTTACCTTTATCCAAATAAAAATGTCGATGAAACTCTTTCACATCACGCTTGGACAGGTAGCTACATCTATAAGATTTTGTAGCACGCTGACAACTTGGATAATCAGGTAAATCTGTAGGTTTATATCTGAAAATTATGGAAACAGAAGTAATATTTAATTTAAAAAAAATGCTTTTTACCTCTCATTCTTTTGCACCTCTCGTTTCCACATGCTTGGTCGGGATACACGTTTTCGCGCCAAATCTGGAGTCACCGGCTTAGTGCACTCACCAGTAAGCTCCATTATTAGTATCTAATAGTATTTGTATGTATAATACTGTTTAGCGGTGTTATTACATTAACTAAATACACGCTATTGGTAATTATTTTCAAATGTATACACAAATAAACTGTTCATTTTGCTTAGACGTACTAGCTCTGCGATGCTACTATCAAAATCTAGACGGTTGAATAAACAGTGGAGGGTGGAAGGTATGACCTTGTTCGGCTGTTCTGATTGGCCAAACTGGATTTGTCGGTATTTGATTTCAGCTCTGACTGTAATTATATTCGGCCCCGTCTCGAAAAATAGTAATACGTAGTATCCCCATCTCTAGCGAATCGGTCATACATTTCAAAGCAAACATAACCCCTCCCGCCGCTCCCCGCTGCCGTCCTCGTACTTCGTCTTCATTTGTATGCGAAAGGTTACGGGCGAACTGCCGTGCAGAAATCAACTCGTCGCCGTCGTACCGTTTAGTGGTGAATTTTTCGATAATTGTGTTTTCAAGTGTTCCAACTATGCCGAAGCGGTCTAGAAAGAGGAGTCGTAGCTCTTCTCCTTCCACTGTAGGGGAAAAGTTTTTGAAAATTGTCAAGAGATTGGAGAAGCGATTGGACAAGATGGAAGAGAAAAGACCAAGGCGATGGCATCATGGCAGTTCATCAGGAACCTCTAATTCCGAGGACGGATCCGATAGCCACTCATATGATAGGCGTTCCTATTCAGGATCGGAAGCTGACGGTGGATCAGATATAGCAGAAAAAGAAGGTGATTATCCTAATTCCTTCATGGTGTATAATTTCAGTGGTTATGATACCACTGGTCCATACTTAAGTGGGGTATTAGTTTAATTGTTCTACATACGCTTGGGTCAAGACTGATTATGGCATCAGTTTGTTTTGTTTATGATAAAAAACGTAGAAAAACTGGTTATAGCATCAGTTTGTTTTGTTTATGATAACAAACGTATACCTGAGCTAAACTGATTATGATGTCAAGTTTTCTGTTTATGACAGCAGATGAATAGTAGGCCCGATTTAAACATTTTGTTGGAATATTAACTATGTGTCATTTTTAACCTTCATAAACCCGAGCGGGGTGCAGTTGCACCCCAGACATCAATTTTTGGTGTTATTTTCTAAGATATTTTTTTTAATTTAATTTCCTTTGAGTTATGTTTCTCAAATATGTTTCTAATATAGTATAAAAAATTTTAAACAATTTGTGATTTATTGTAACAAGTTATAGTGAGTTTTGTTCCTTGGGGTGCAGCTGCACCCCGCTCGGTATGTAACTATAGGTAAATATTTTGCATACGCTGAATACTAACTGGGGTATAAATAAACCCCAATTTTTTCAAACGACGGAGATTCCCCGTATCGTGACGGCAACACGGTCGGGGAATCCCAATAGCGGCTATGTATAACGTGTCCACGCAATTATCGCATTATAATCTTAGGTTTCGTGAGTGTCGTTACGTTTGTAGTGATTGTCGCCTACGCGCTTATAAAAATGAGTGTGAATCACCGAAATTTCGAAATGAAAATAAGCTAACAGACGAAGAACTATTGGCGATATTAGAAACGGATATTTACGACCATTATTTTAATGATTCAATACTAGAAAATGGTTCAAGTGATATCGAAGAGACTGATATAGTGACTGAAACTAATGAGATAGATGATGTTTTGCAAGTTAGTGATAGTGAGAATGATTTGGCAGATTCTTCAGCTGTAGTTGGCCAATCAATAACTTATACAGAAAATCCAACTTATACTTCTAAAGATGGTAGTGTGTGGGCAAAAGTTCCACTTACTGCGAGGACAAAGAGAAGAAAATGTAATATACAAACTACAAGATCCAACTTTATGTCGACCTTTGGTATCATCTACTATGTCTCGCAACAGATTCCAACAAATTATGTGCTTTCTAAGATTCGACAATTTTGAAACAAGAGAAGAAAGAAAACGCACTGATAAATTTGCCGCAATCAGAGATGTCTTTGATGTTTTTGTATCTAATTGCAAGAAATCTTTAAATCCATCTGAACACTTGTGCGTGGATGAGCAGTTAGTTCCGTTCCGAGGCAGGGCTCCTTTTCGGGTTTACATGAAGAGTAAGCCGGACATAATATGGATAAAAAATTTGGGCCTTGGCTGATTGTAGTTTGGCGTATACAGTGAATATGCAAATTTATTTAGGTAAGCTATGTCCTAGAACATGCAGATATTATAGATTTTAAAATTTTAGGCAAAGAAGGAAACAAACCAGAGAAAGGTCAAGGTCAAAGGGTAGTGTTAGACCTGGTAAACCATTTATCTACAGGATATGGGATAACTACTGATCACTTTTTTACCAGTGTTGAGTTGGCCAATAAGCTCTTAGATAAAAACATTACCTTGTGTGGAACACTGCGTAAAAATAAACCTTATATTCCAAAAGAACTACTTCCAGCAGAATACAAGAAAGATTTTTCAAGCATGTTTGCTTTTATGGAAAATAAAACATTAGTTTCTTACGTACCAAAGAAAAATGCGGCAGTTATCCTTTTATCAACAGAACATAACGATGACAGAATAAGTGGAGAGGAATGTGACTATAAACCGGACATCATTTTACACTACAACAAAACTAAGGGTGCAGTAGATACAACAGATAAATTGGCAAAGGAATTTACCACTCAAAGAAAAAGTAATCGATGACCGATGGTAATATTTTTTCATCTGCTGGATATTGGTGGCATCAACGCCTATAAACTATGGATGTTGAAAAATCCAGATTGGAAAAAAAATTGTTTAGATAGAAGAAGAATGTTTCTGTTGGAGTTGGGCCAAGAATTAATTAAGAAGAATATAATTCGTAGATACCATAATGACAAGTCGTTACATTCCAATATAAGACAATCCATATTAACAATTTTGCCAGAATTAAATATTGTAAGGAATGAACCACCTGCTCCCGCTATTCGGAGACAGCAGCGATGTTTTTTATGCGACAGAAGTAAAGACAGGAAATCTCGAAAGTTTTGTATTCGGTGTAATCAGTACGTATGTGCAGAACATTCTAAAAATATAACCGTTTGTAATACGTGTGATAATTAAATTATTATTTAAAATATCACATATTTATCTTCTTCTTAATTATCTTTCTTTATATTATAATCATTTCAAATTATTTTTTCCAAATGTTATAGCATACTTATGTAAAAATATATATTTTTTATAATCAGAATGTGTTTATTTTTTGAAAATCTTTAATTACAGTAATTAAATAAGCCAGAAAAACGTTGGGGTACATTTGCACCCCACTCGGTATTTAACGTAAATTTCTGACCACGGGTTTATGAAGGTTAATATGACATTTGAAACAAAATATATATATAAGTTATAGGGCTACCCTGTAGAAGCTAGAAAATAGAAAATGCAAGTCAGCATATCATCGCAGCGCCTAGCAACCGTTGAAATGCAACATGATATGTTTCCTGTTTTTACTCATGCTAACGAACATTGTACTTGTATAATTAAAATTTAGTCTTAATCTAACTTTCGTACCATCCACTACTGTATTTTCGGAAATAAATATTTTTTAAAAAGGCACTTACGTTATCCCGAAATATTAGTGGCGCAGCCAGTAGGATATTTGGGGGTTGTTTACGGCTTATAAACCACCCTTCGTCGAACGATTAACCAAATACGAACCGAAAAAAGTCTCGCGAATCGGTAATTTCGGTCGGTCGCGTGGACTCAACCATCTAGAGGAATTCCAACTTGGTGGATCGAGTAGCCAAGTGAGAAGACGTCAACCAAGGGGCCAAGGGAATATTGGACCAGAGGACCAAAGGAATATTGGACCACGGCGGAATCTCTACTCTCTACTCATACAGGGCATGGAACTTCTAGTGGTATTGCTGTAAGTACCTAATGTCTTTTAGAGGACTCGAAAATATTAATTCTGATAGCAGTGATAGCGCGGAATCGGATTCTGACTCACCAATAGCTAATTCGAATATTCAATTCTCAAGACCAATTTTTAGATCACCAATTCTGAATTTACCTATTATCAGTGAAAATCAATTAAGTAACGTCACAATGACTACTAGTTCAAACAATGTACCTTTCCTAAAACCAGAATACTTGCACATGATTCCTGATTTTCATGGTGAACCAGAATTATTACCCAGATTTCTTGAAATTTCAGAGAAATTAGTCACGAAATTTTATAATGCAACAAATCCAGAGGACTTTCAAAACGAATATTTGATGTCAAGTTTGCTTGCGAAAATAAAAGGTGACGCAGCACTTAATATTTCTTCGTCTCACATAAAAAACTGGCAAGATTTAAAAAATGCTCTTCTCAATGCTTATGCAGATAAGCGCGATCTTTTCACGTTGAATATAGAGATGGTAGAATTAAGGCAAAATCAAAACGAAAACCCTTCTGAATTTTATAATAGGATTCAACATCTGTTAAATTTACAAATTTCATACTCTGTATCACACTTACCAGAAAATGAAGCTATAATAGTTAATAACTATTGTAGAAATCTAGCTTTAAGAATTTTATTAAGAGGTTTGAAGGAACCTATTGGATCTTTAATGCGTACAAAAAACCCAGAAGATCTCAATCAAGCTTTGCACATGCTTACGAATGATTTTCAGTTAGAGGCAGTACAACAAAATCAATTTAAACAGAAGTTTGGTCAAAAACATCATCCGAAGGCAAATCAATTTAAGCGAAATCCTCAAAATTTCCAAAACTCACAGTTTAGACCACCCTTACCTATTACTAATTATCCTCATAACCAAAATCATCGTAGCCAGAACAATGCTAGACAAACACAGCAACCTAATGTGTTTAGGCCGAATCAAAATCAATCGTTTCCTAAACCTAC